CCAGGCAAAGGAAGCGTCTCCTTTCGGGACACGAATGCTTCCCCCTGGCCGCCACCCGTCTATAAGAATGGCGGACACCCAGGGTGCACTCATTAATTACTTCCCTTGCGGTTCCACATTTATGTTGCAAGTTGCCAATGTACTAATTGATTGGTGCGAACATTCCAAGGGGCACTGGGAAGGTCCTCGTTTGGGAACCGAACGAGGTGGAAAGCAATCCATGAATGCTCTCCCTGGATGGCTTCAGTCTAACGAACGGGCCGCCACCCAGGGGAGGCACGCGCGGAGGCTTCCCTTGTGGTTTTGACAACTCATTCCGAGGTGCAAACGTTCTATACCAACATTCTAAATGAATTATCGGGGTTGTCCCCGTTCGGGAGGTGAATGCATTCCCTTCGTGTAGAACCTCCAGAAAGGCGGAGCATGCACATTCATATGAAAGTTACAGGGAAACACACAGAATATAATACAGCAATTCACAAACAGGCAGTGGACCCGCCACACAGCTCCCCCTTAACCACAAGCCAGCATATACCGTCTGATCCCAACGGATCGGCTTGTGGATGTCCGGGGGAGTGCTCACGGATCACTTTTACAGGGCTGTCTGTCTCAATAATGTCGTTTTGCTTACCGGGTCTATAGTGGATGGTAAAGTCATATGGTTGTAGCGCCAAGCTCCATCACAACAGCCTAGAATTGTCCGCAGAGACCCGGTTAAGCCATACCAGTGGGTTGTGATCCGTGAGCAGGGTGAATTGAGGTCCGCAGAAGGCTGTAGTTTTTTGAGTGCCCACACCACCGCCAGGCACTCCTTTTCAAATGCGGCATAGCTTAGCTCCCTGGGTAGTAACTTCCTGCTGAGGTAAGTCATGTTGTAGTCGCCGCCATCGTCGCCGACCTGGCTTAGTACTACTCTTAACCCAAACAAGAAGGCATCTGTGTGAACAAGAAAATGTTTTAGGGGATTAGGAACAGCCAGGACAGGAGTACTCACCAAGGTGTTCTTGAGTGCTTGGAACGCCTGCTCACACTCTGGGCCCAGTCTACTTGTTGGGGCAAGGTCTTTTGGGTCAAGTTGGTGAGGGACTTAGTTAGGGCAAACTTCTTGTAATAACCAGCAGTCCCTAGGAAGGCCAGCACCTGGACCTTAGTGCGGGGATCGGGCAGTTAGCTACTGTCTGTATCTTGGCTTGCTCTCGCTTCTGAGACCCACACCCAACACGGTGTCCTAGGTAATGCACCTCTGCCATCCCTAGGTGGCACTTGCTGGGTTTGAGGGTCAACCTGGCTCCCTAATCCTGTCTAGTACAGCTCCCACATGTACTAGGTGCCCTTCTCAAGTGCGGCTGTATATGGTGATGACATCCAGGTATGTGCAGGCATACTCCTGGAGGCCATCCAGCAGCCGGTTCACAATCCTCTGGAAAGTGGCTGGGGCATTCTTCAACCCAACTGGCATCATCTTAAATTGGTACAAGCCAAATGGGGTGACAAATGCCAACTTGGGGACAGCATCTGCCACCAGGGGAATCTGCCAGTACTCTTGCACAAGTCTATAGTGGTGAGGTACCGGCCCCGAGCCACCCTATCTAGTAGCTTGTCTATACGGGGTATGGGGTACGCACCTGAAACCGTCTTGTTGTTGAGCCTCCAGTAGTCCACATAGAACCTGGTAGTCTCGTTTCGGGACCAACACGACTGGGGAGGCCCAAAGACTCTGGGATGGTTCGATGACCCCTAGCCGGAGCATCTCTTGGATCTCCTGCAGCATGTTCCCCCGCACAGCCTCTGGTACCCGGTAGGGGTTTTGCTGCAGGGGCTGTTGGTCGGGAGTCTCTACCCGGTGGATGGCTAGTGGGGTATACCCAGGCAGGTTGGAGAATGTCTCCTTCCTTGCTGACAGCATTTCCTGTGCCTGTTGGCGTTCTCCTTCGGGTTAGGCGGTACCCTAAGTGGACCTCATCTATGGACCCTGCCCAAGACCCGTCGGGCAGGGGAAGATTATCACAGTTGGACAGCCATTTCATCAGTAAACTGGGTGCCAATCCGAAATGATCTCCTAGGGAAAACCCATCTGGGAGAACACTCGCTACAATTTCAGCCTGAATATTGCTCAGGGTGACTGCCTCGGGGTACCAAGTCACATAGTCCACAATGGTCAGTATATATTTCTTCCCAGAGGGGCTAGGCTTAGCCAGGGGGCCTATGATATCGACAGCTACTCTGCCGAATGGGTCATCGATGATGGGGAGGTGCTGAGGCTTTGCCTTGCGCAGGTCGCCCTGCTTCCCCACTCGCTGGCAGACATCACAGGTCTGGCAACACTGCTTCAGATCCTTAGAGATGACTGGCCAGGAAAAGCTTTGGGTGCGCCGACTCTAGGTCCAGCTTCGTCCAAATGCCCTGCCAGGGGGGTATTGTGGGCTATCTTCAGCAGCTCATGTCGATATTTCTTGGGTGCCATCAACTGCTTGGTGGTAGTAGGAGCTGTACCTGACTTCTTGTTCTCTGCTATGTGGTAGAGTAGCCCCCGCTCCCAGAGGTACTGCTCCCCCTCCTTCCCTACCCAACCCAGTCTGAAACTACCTCCCTCCAAGTCCTGGGGTGTGCGAGGCCGTACTGGGGACTGGGGTAGGATGCTTAGCCCAGGGGGTCGGCTTATGGGCGGCTATGGGAAACAGGGGGACTGGCCCAGGGGGCTGACTTACGTGGGCGCCTTCAAGGGACCGGGGCATAGGGGCGGGTGTGGGTGCCTACCTGAGCCTCAGAGTGTGAGCTATGGCAGGGGTTGCGAGCCTGTTGCTGGGTCATCACAAGGTACACTTCTTTGAGGGCCTGGATGGAGACATAGGTGAGGTAAGGTGGCCCAGGTCGTGGCCGAGCAGCACTTATGCTGGTAGCCGATCCATGAGGCTGACTTCGACTCTCTGGGCTCCAGTGCCCCAGTCAAGGTGAACATGGACAGTGGGTAGATAGTGGATGTCCCCTCCTGCCACTCGGACGGCGACGGTACCCCTGTCCTTTCTTCTTCTGGGATAAGCACCAGAGTTAGGGTTGCTCCGGTGTCTCATAGCTTGTGGGCCTTGCGCCTGTTCAGCCGCACTGGCTGTCTGTGGTGACACGAAGGGGAGCTGCGGTAGAGGTGTTGGATTGTGGCAGAGGTTGGATGGGGGTCGTTAGCTGGGAGAAGGAGCAGTGCGTTGGGACCGTCGAGTATCCACATACTCGTTAGCCCCTTTGGCTGCTTCAGTCACGGTCTTGGGCTGCCGGTCTCTCACCTATCCCTGCACCTCAGTGGGGATGCTTGTTCATGGTTTCCACTAAAGGGCGGTTTTCTTATAGAGTGTCAGGCAACAGGCTACTTCTCTGCGCATCTTCTTCGCCCTCCTGCTGTGGCACAGACGAATCTCTGCGTGTATGGTCATCTTCCATGAGGGCTGCAGTCAGATCAGCCTTGTACTACTTCCAGCTGATAACCAGGTTGTGTACTGTTTGTCTCTTTAGAGTGGTGTAGTCCATGGGTCTGTTTGACTCACGAATGCTGGTTCCATGTGGCTGGGACATGGGATCCCGCAGCTCGCCACCAGTTGTAGCGGGCCTCCTAGGAACCCGACTGGTTGCTCCCACCCACCCAGTAACCGAACGACACACAGTCCTGGGGGTACAATAACAACTTTATTAGCCACACTTGGCTTTATACTTTACCCCATGCAAGGGGTGGATCAAACATAAACACAATGTCTCCCCCTCCCAGGGGTCGTATAATGGATCCAGAACTCCAGTCCCTTTGTCCCCTATTCCCGCCACCTATCCTCAAGGTTTCCCTCCTTCCCGCCTCCTGGACTCCCAGTTACAGAAAGCCAGCTAAACCGCCATTGTCCCCAAAGGGTGTCCCCACCAATCTCAGGGAGCCCCAGAACGGTAACTGCCATGAACAGCCTCCATTCGCGGGGTCCCTGGGTGAAACCAGGCAAGGGAAGCGTCTCCCTTCGGGACATGAATGCTCCCCCTGGCCACCTTCCATCTATACGGAATCCTCCCCGTGGATGGCATCTGACGAACGAGCCGCCACTCAGGGGAGGCACGCGCTGAGGCTTCCCTTGCAGTTTGTGATTTTGACACCTCATTACGAGGTGTGAACGTTCTATACCAACATTCTAAATGATTAATTTGGGCGGTCCCCATTTGGGAGGTGAATGCATTCCCTTCCGAACGGGGAACAGGCACATTCATATGAAAATAATGGCGAAACACATAGAATACAGCAATTCACGAACAGGCAGCGGTCCCGCCACATAAAGCTGTATCATTTCTTTATATTTTTTATACTTGTGTTGACATTAAATTGCTTGGATAGCCTTTCATATGTTTTAATTGTGATCATGGGAAATATATGATTAGCACTGCTAAAGATAGTTGTCTTTTTAGTATTACAAGTGTTTAGCTAGAAAATGTTTATCAATATTTGTATTTTTCCTGATGTCTTTTTATTATCTTTTGCAATTAGATTGATTGTTATTTGGGGGTTAACTGTTAGGATACATCTCTGTCAAAATAGCCGATGCAGCTAATAATCTAAATTATAGCTGTACAAAATTAAAGGGTTGGTGTTTGGATGCTTGCGAATATAAGTGGGCTTCCAGTAATTCTGTTGATGACTATCGTTAGTGAACATCCTAGAACTGCCTCAACCTGGTCTCTGGTGGTGCGAGGGAGGCATGAGGAGTAGCTTTAATTAGTTCTACACACAGCTCCCTTGTGGCCCACTCAGTAGTGATGTCACACATCACTACAGTCTGAGCTACCGGGAGCTTTTTTTGATAATTATTGATGGTTTTTGGTTGATAAAACTAAATTGAGGCCATGATGCATAGTGTGTAAGAGGATGTCAGTAAAAATCATAAAAATGTTTTAAACTTGAAATACCTTAGATTCTTGAGTGCTGAATACGTTCGGATCATCTGTACTCTCAACCATTATTTTGTTTTCCTCTTGTTCTTTCACAGTCTGCCCTCCAGCTGCTCCATCAGTGCGCTGCGACTTTGAGCCATGCCGGTCTCCAGAAAAGCGATCACTTGTAGTATTCCCCATGATATTGTAAGCTCGCTGAAAAAAAGAAAGAGAAAATAGTAAGACGAAAAGTAGTAAAAATACTTATGGCGCTCTCACTTTAGCCTCTAAACTTTTCAAACTGTTTTAAAGAAATAATCTAAGGTACCATAATCATTACAATAACCATTATAGCATGATGTAGTGGATATGATGCCAGGAGTGCATTGGCATCCCCAATTACAGGTAATCAACCCATTTGGCAATAGTTTACATTTTTACCTGGGGCCTGTATATGTTGCTTTTTGTCTTTCTCCTTCCGGTGCTGAAAGCGAGCTTTATTGGTATGGTGCTTGGAATTTTCTTTTAACTTTGCTGATTGTATCATAATGTTCTTGTGTTATCATGTATCGTTATATTCTTATCACCTTTCTCAATACTTTTTTTTTTACACTGTTATCTGCAGTGCGGTGAGACAGTTATATAAACAATTAATAATATTAAGGACAAGTTATCCTCAAAGTTTTTTGTTTATTTGTTTTATAGCCACCTCAATTCTACAGCAAGTAAATCAAGATACACGAGATAGACATAAAAAAATGTGCAAATGTTCATTCTACTATTCATTAAAAAAAGACTTTTTAATAATGTTTTTAATAATGGACAAATCCCTATCCTCTATAACAATAAATATTGTACATATTATTAATATAGAAAGTTAGACAGATAGATATACACACATACATATACACCTATAGATACACTGCATAATTTCTGTGCACCACCCCCAAAACAACACAGCACATATATTGGCATTAAAGGAACACTATAGTCACCTAAATTACTTTAGCTATATAAAGCAGTTTTAGTGTATAGATCATTCCCCTGCAATTTCACTGCTCAATTCACTGTCATTTAGGAGTTAAATCACTTTGTTTCTGTTTATGCAGCCCTAGCCACACCTCCCCTGGCTATGACTGACAGAGCCTGCATGAAAAAAAAAACTGGTTTCACTTTCAAACAGATGTAATTTACCTTAAATAATTGTATCTCAATCTCTAAATTGAACTTTAATCACATACAGGAGGCTCTTGCAGGGTCTAGCAAGCTATTAACATAGCAGGGAATAAGAAAATCTTAATTAAACAGAACTTGCAATAAAGAAAGCCTAAATAGTGCTCTCTTTACAGGAAGTGTTTATGGAAGGCTATGCAAGTCACATGCAGGGAGGTGTGACTACGGTTCATAAACAAAAGGATTTAACTCCTAAATGGCAGAGGTTTGAGCAGTAAGGCTGCAGGGGTATGTTCTATACACCAAAACTGCTTAATTAAGCTAAAGTTGTTCAGGTGACTATAGTGTCCCTTTAATATTTAGACACTTTGTCTTGACCAACAAGTGCATCAGAAACAACGCCAGGACAATTCACTGCATTAGTATTAACACGAGGAAAAAGCACAGCATCAGAATAGGTGTGAGATTGACACACTCTTTGGTGCTGTAGACATACACTGTAACCTCGTGGAAAGCCCTCTCAAGTACTAATAATGGTCTAAGTCCATCAATCTGGTATTTTTTTTAAATAACAATGGCTAAAAGATACATCCTTAGGTTTTAGGGTTGTTATTTTTCTCCTGGTTAGATCTTTGCATGTTGAAATTTTGGGGATTTCCAATTTATTGGTGGCCAAATTCAGTGTCTCCACACTGCCTTAACTGTATGTAACAAGCACTCCATTTCATAGCAATTACATTCATAAACCATGGCTGATCTTAGTAATTCATGTAGACCACCAGTGATGTAAGAATTTACATAATTAGGATTTCTGCTAACACCAACAAGGCTCTCAGTGTCTGACATGTATCCAAATGTCCTTTCCTTCGTGATCTTACACAAGAACATCTTTAAATGGAGCACTGCACAATGAGCAATCATCAAAAATATTAAAATAAGATGTAACAGTCTGCCTTTAATAACAACTTGCTGAACAATATGATGTAAAGCTCTGAGGCAGTACTATACACTGTCTAGGCTGATGGTACAATTGATATCATCATGGAATATAATACAGGTCACTGAGGTCTATTAAAAAAAATAAAAAGCTAACTTTAAAACTTTAACTTTTACCTGATTCCAGTGCTGATGTCCCTCAGTGTTGGATCGAGCTCCTCCTCTGCTGATGTCAAGGAGATTTGAAAACATAATGTGCAATGAGCGCATTAGGCTTTCCCCATATGAAAGCATGGAATCAATGCTTTTTCCTATATATTTTTTCATGCAAAGAGTTAAACTCTATAAAACTTCAGGACGTGCCTGGTAGACAGCCACTAAAACAGGGAGTTAACCCTGCAATAATTAACATTAAGATGAATAAGATTAAAGGACCACTCTAGGCACCCAGACCACTTCAGCTTAATGAAGTGGTCTGGGTGCCAGGTCCCTCTAGGATTAACCCTTTCTTTTTATAAACATAGCAGTTTCAGAGAAACTGCTATGTTTATAATAGGGTTAATCCAGCCTCCAAATCCTCTAGTGGCTGTCTCATTGACAGCCGCTAGAGGCGTTTGCGTGCTTCTCACTGTGAAAATCACAGTGAGAAGACGCAAGCGTCCATAGCAAAGCATTGTAAAATGCTTTCCTATGAGACCGGCTGAATGCGCGCGCAGCTCCTGCCGCGCATGTGCATTCAGCCGAAGAGGAGGATTGGAGGAGGACAGCTCCCGGCCCGGCGCTGGAAAAAAGGTAAGTTTAACCCCTTCCTCTCCCCAGAGGCGGGCGGGAGGGGGCACCCTCAGGGCACTATAGTGCCAGGAAAACGAGTATGTTTTCCTGGCACTATAGTGGTCCTTTAATTAATAAGATGAAGTGGGCTCTGTAACTATAGTGTCCCTTTAAGCTAACTCAACCTAACTACAACACCTAACATTAAAAACAAAATAGCATTATCTGAAGGGGTCTGGTTACCTTTAATGGTCCTCTGCTATTTTCATATGAATCTCATTGCTGGAGTGGCCTTTATTTGAAAACAGCTTGGCCAAACTGAAACTAAACTGCATGTATGCCAAGCTAACCAGGGCTCTATTCATGTAGGTCTGAAGCTTTTCCAGACTGGCCTGTCTCTGCCCCTTTGTTGTTGACCTGTTGGGATATATTCCTGCAGCTTCCTTAGAACTCAATAATCCTATCCATGTTGGGATACAGAACCTGCAGGTAGAGCTTAATTTATTGTAAGGCATTTGTCTGCAGACAGCCAAAAAAGAATAAATAAATAAATCAGAGTTATTTGAGAGGTATAAATGTGCAAAAGTGAGTGGGGTGGGCAGAGAGGGGGTGTATTCATGTGGTCACATTTTTGCTATGGACATTTAGCATGCATAATGATGGGGTTAATCACAAAACTTAGAATTTGGGGGAAATAAATCCATCTTTCGTATTGTAGCTAAAATCACCACAACTCTGACAATAGCTAAGCTGGTAAATTGTTCCACTTCAGCCTACAATTTGTCATTCATATTTTATTCACTAAAATGTTGAATTTAGTGAATAACCCTGTAAATGGGTTGTTATACTAAATGAAAAGAAGGGGGTAAGTGCAAAACGTATTATTCACAACTTTTTACATAGTGCAGAAAATGCCAGATATAGACAGGGTGAATTGTAGTGCCATAAAGTGATCTAAAACATGCACACCTTAGTATCTATTTTACACATAGCTTGCAATAAGTCTCTAAACCAAGCATGTCAAACTCAAAGTCTATCAAGGGCCAAATAAACAAGGTTTAAGTTTATATGTGGGCCGCAAAAAAACATAAATTTTCACCCCCTCTATTAAACCCCAGTCCCCCCTCGTCTACTAAATTCCAGCCCCCCCTTAATCTACAAAATCCCAGGCCCCCCACCCCCGTCAACTAAACCCCTGCCCCGTTTAAAGAAAAGAAACAAAAAAACAGCTAACAAGCAGTGTCAGGAGTCCGGCCTCTGGCATGCCCCCAATAGCCCCATCTGCACCTTAAAAAAAAAAAAGTGGATCCACCCATTACTCCTTGAAACCCTCACTCACACACACACACTCACTAAGACACACTCACTGACAGACACACAGAATCACTCCGACATACACTTACAGACACACAGGCTCCCTCACAGACACACACACACAGACTCAATGACAGACACAACACAGCCAGCCATACACCTATACACACACACAGACAGACAGACACACACACACAGCAAGACACATACACAGTCATACATATACACAGCCATACACATACAGACAGCCAAACACCTATATACACACACACAGCCATACACACAGACAGCCATACACACATACAGCCATACATATACACCGTCATACACCTTTACACACAGACAGCCATACACATACACCTATACACACAGACAGCCATACATATACACCGTCATACACCTTTACACACAGACAGCCATGCGCGTACACGGCCATACACACACAGCCATACACCTATACAGACAGACAGCCATACACACACACAGACAGCTATACACACACACAGCCAGCCATACACTGGGTTGGTTTGTTACCTATGGTGTAGTGGGGCTGCTGGGCAGGCGGGAGTGCAGGCAGGGTGAGCTAAGGTGAGCTAAGCAAGGAGAGCTTACACTCATCGCTCCCTCGCCGAGGCCTGCAGGCCGCATAAATATTAGTTGTGGCCCGCGAATTTGACATGGCTGCTCTAAACAAATGTTCTTTGGTGCCTTTTTACAAAAGTACATATTAAAGAACCACTATAGGCACCCAGACCACTTCAGCTTAGTGAAGTGGTCTGGGTGTCAGGTCCATCTAGATTAACCCTGCCTGCTGTAAATATACAGTTGCAAGACAAAGTATGTGAACCCTTTGGAATGATATGGATTTCTGCACAAATTGGTCATAAAATGTGATCTGATCATCATCAAGTCACAACAATAGACAATCACAGTCTGCTTAAATTAATAACACACAAAGAATGAAATGTTACCATGTTTTTATTGAACACACCATGTAAACATTCACAGTGCAGGTGGAAAAAGTATGTGAACCCCTAGACTAATGACATCTCCAAGAGCTAATTGGAGTGAGATGTCAGCCAACTGGAGTCCAATCAATGAGATGAGATTGGAGGTGTTGGTTACAGCTGCCCTGCCCTATAAAAAACACACACCAGTTCTGGGTTTGCTTTTCACAAGAAGCATTGCCTGATGTGAATGATGCCTCACACAAAAGAGCTCTCAGAAGACCTAGGATTAAGAATTGTTGACTTGCATAAAGCTGGAAAGGGTTATAAAAGTATCTCCAAAAGCCTTGCTGTTCATCAGTCCAAGGTAAGACAAATTGTCTATAAATGGAGAAAGTTCAGCACTGCTGCTACTCTCCCTAGGAGTGGCCGTCCTGTAAAGATGACTGCAAGAGCACAGCGCAGACTGCTCAATGAGGTGAAGAAGAATCCTAGAGTGTCAGCTAAAGACTTACAAAAGTCACTGGCAAATGCTAACATCCCTGTTAGCGAATCTACAATACGTAAAACACTAAACAAGAATGGATTTCATGGGAGAATACCACAGAGGAAGCCACTGCTGTCCAAACAAAACATTGCTGCACGTTTACAGTTTGCACAAGAGCACCTGGATGTTCCACAGCAGTACTGGCAAAATATTCTGTGGACAGATGAAACCAAAGTTGAGTTGTTTGGAAGAAACACACAACACTAAAAAAAAAGGCACAGCACACCAACATCAAAACCTCATCCCAACTGTGAAGTATGGTGGTGGGGGCATCATGGTTTGGGGCTGCTTTGCTACCAGCTTAAGCTCAACAGAAGATGGGTGTTGCAACAGGACAATGACCCAAAGCATAGAAGTAAATCAACAACAGAATGGCTTAAACAGAAGACAATACGCCTTCTGAAGTGGCCCAGTCAAAGTCCTGACCTCAACCCAATTGAGATGCTGTGGCATGACCTCAAGAAAGCGATTCACACCAGACACCCCAAGAATATTGCTGAACTGAAACAGTTCTGTAAAGAGGAATGGTCAAGAATTACCCCTGACCGTTGTGCACGTCTGATCTGCAACTACAGGAAACGTTTGGTTGAAGTTATTGCTGCCAAAGGATGTTAAACCAGTTATTAAATCCAAGGGTTCACATACTTTTTCCACCTGCACTGTGAATGTTTACATGGTGTGTTCAATAAAAACATGGCAACATTTCATTCTTTGTGTGTTATTAGTTTAAGCAGTCTGTGATTGTCTATTGTTGTTGTGACGGACCGCTTGCACTCGACTGAGTACCTCCGCCAATCGATGCTCCTAGTGTGTCAGGATCGTGACAGGGATCCAACACGCAGAATACAAACAGGAGATAGGTACGTATACCGGACCTTAGAATGGCCGGACTAACGTAAGGAGAAAGCAAAGAATGGTCAGAGACAAGCCGAGGTCGAGGGAACGAGAGAGTAGGTAAGCGAGAGACAAGCCGAGTCAAAAGGACAAGAGAGGAAAGCAGGGTCAAAAAATACAAGCCGAGTCAGGAACCAAAAGACAATAGAGGTAAGAGCACTGAGTGACCAGACTAGCTAGAACCACGACAGGGCAATGAATCATTCCACAAAACCCTCTTTTATACCTTGGCTCTTTAACTGTTGGCCCCGCCCCCAACGAGTCCTGATTCGTTGTTCGGCACTTGGTTGCCGTGATTGACGGGTCGGAACGTGATTGCCGTCATGACGTCGGCTACTGAGCGCCGCGTCATAAAAGGAGGCGGAGCTATCGCGGCCGGCGTGTAAACGGCCGGGAGGACTGCGAGGATCGGGTGAGTCAGCCCCCCTAGGAGGATGGACGTCTAGGTGTCTAACCTCCTCCGAGGTAGACACCAGAGGTAACCTGACATAGTGCTCGCTGAGGACTCCAAGCACTCCAACCGACACCATCAGCACTGCAGACCCAACTTCCAGCGATGCAACTGCGCCGGGGTCTCTGCTGTCTCCACCCACCCTGGATCCAGCTTCCAGTGGGTGAACCTCTCTTTCCCCAGAGAGCAGGAACAGGAACAAGCTCTTAGCAGAACTCAGTGATCATACCCTGGGGAGTATAGTGATTATAGCAATCCCCAGAGTGTATTTCTCCAATCCCCCAAACATGAGCCAAGGCTTAATGCTGGAACAAGACTGATTTACTGGCACACAGAACTCACAATTTATGCAACACAAAACTCCTCCTCTGGGCCAGGCTAGATAATTGAGTTTCTACAATACACAAAGCTCAATTATCTGCTGGCCAGAAATAATACAGTTTCATAAAACACACAGAGACCCCAAAACATGCAATAACCCCATAAAAAGTATATCCTTGGAACCGGGGGATCTGGTTGAACCACATATCCAAAATTCACCCAGATCCGTTCAGTACTTTGGAAAATACAGTTTAATGCAGATTCTGCAGAACATATACAGGCTATATGAAAATCAATTACTGTATATGTCCCCTGCTGTATAGTCCAAAACCACTGCACGATGTCTCTGTGCACCAAATACTGGCGAGATGGCACCGTGTTGAAAAGTCCAAACAGTGTCTGTGAGTTAAAATGGCCGCCATCCATTGTTCTCACCATGTGCTTCTGATACAGGAAATGGTGGCCACCCAGTAACTCCACAGTATGTCCCCAGATGGTTCTTAAAGGGCCAGCAGGAGCACAACACAAATCCATTATGCCCAAATCATGTCTTTAAAGGGCAATACATCCCAGGGGCCATAGTCACAGGGCAAGAGGCGGGCAAGCAGTCCTCTCCAGGCACAAGTGGCGAAGGGCACTTCGTCACAATGATCAGATCACATTTTATGTCCAATTTGTGCAGAACTCCATATCATTCCAAAGGGTTCACATACTTTTTCTTGCAACTGTAGCAGTTTCAGAGAAAATGCTATGTTTATATATGTGTTAATCCAGCCTCTAGTAGCTGTCTCACTGACAGCTGCTAGAGGCGCTTTCGCGCTTCAAGACGCCAGCGGCTCTTGCCGCGCATGTGCATTCAGCCATGAGGGTGGAGGGGACCTATTAACACTATAGTGCCAGGAAAATGAGTTTGTTTTCCAGGGAATAAAGTGGTCCTTTAAGAAAATAGTTTTAGGCAACAATGTGCAATGTCAATCAGCAGTTGCTAAGTCCAGTAAAGTATTGTCATGTACAGTGGCGTAACCAGAGCATCTGGCACCCGGGGCGGGTCCTAATTTTGGCATCCCTCCCTCCCCCCCACTTTAAAATGTAAAAAACAACCGCAATTTTTGTTTTTTGTATGTAGTGTGTCGTTGAAATGCAGGGGTGTATTTATGTGTAGTGTTGGCAAGATTCTGAGATGTATGCACATAGGGTGGCAGAAATCCTTGCACCGGCCCTGCACACAAAATAGGTGTATGTCTGTGTGTGTATATCTGTGGTGTGTGTGTGCACCGCACACACACTTAACCACAGAGATTCACACACAATCACACACAAACAAAGACATACACAAACACAATCACAAACCCACACACATACAGTCAATCACATACACACAGTGGTGTATCCTGGTTTTGTGCTGCCCTAGGCAGGACAAAACTCAGGCGCCCCCTCCCCCCGTGCCACCCCCACCCAACCCTTCCCCCCTGCCCGACCTTCTAAATACACACACACACACATAGTCACAAACACACACACAGTCAGACACAAACACACACACAAACACACACAGTCAGACACAAACACACACACAGTCACACACACAAACACAGTCAGACACATACACAGTCAAACACAGTCAGACACAAACACACACAAACACACACAGTCAGACACAAACACACAGTCAGACACAAACACACAGTCAGTTACAAACACAGTCAGTTACAAACACAGTCAGACACAAACACACACACAATCACCCACATTAACTTTTTTTTTAAATCCCCCCCCCACCCAGCCTCCTTACCTTTGGGAGTGCTGGGGGGGGGGTCTCTCTCTCCCTGGTGGTCCAGTAGCTGCCAGTCGGGCTGGGCGGGCGGCGCTGGCTGCTGTGCGGGCGGCTGGCGAGGGAGCACTTCCCCTGAGCTGACTGCTCAGCTCCCTCGCCCGCCGCTGGGAGCCGGAATATGACGTCATCAACCCGGCTCCCAGCCTCACTCTGCGGCGCGCGAGGGAGCTGAGCAGTCAGCTCAGGGGAAGAGCTCCCTCGCCAGCCGCCTTCCAGCGCTGCCCGCCCGCTCGGCATGTCAGTTAGCCACGAGGCTAACTAGGCAATTGCCCTGGGCATTTGGGGGGCTTTTTTTTCCGCCCCCTGAAAAATGCCGCCCAAGGCAAATGCCTTGTTTGCCTCGCAGCTAAAACGCCCCTGCATACACACATAATTAGATATACACACACACAAACATCACATGTATACACATAATTAAGAGGTCCACCCAGCCTCCCTACCTTGGTCTGGGAGGGCTGGAGTTGATCCTCAGCCCCTGGTGGTCAGTGGTTGCTGCTGGGATGTCTGTGCTGCTCCTGCACAGGTCCCTTGCGCACCCTGTAATGACGCCGATGCCGGGATTAAGTTATATAGTCAGATGCACACAGTTATACACACATACTGTCAAATACAGCCACATGCACACATAATCACTCGCATACAGTCACACACAAACAGTTGCAGGCAGACAGACAGTCACACACAGACACTTACAGACAGTCACACACACACAGCTACAGGCAGACAGTCTCACACACACACACACACACACACAATTACAGGCAGACTGTAAACACAGTTACACACACAGGCACAGACAGTCAGTCACACACACAGTTACAGGCAGACAGTTGTAGCGGGCCTGCTGACAACCCGACTGGTTGTCTAAGCTCAGCAACAGCTTGTCCCTGGAAGGGAATCAGCTAGAACACAAGAGAGTGTCCCCACCAATTGCAGCGACCCCCAGAACAGTAGCCGCCTCCGCTCGTAGGGTCCCTGGGTGAAACCAGGCAAGGGAAGTGTCTCCTTTCGGGACATGAATGCTCTCCCTGGCCGTGTTTTGTCTATATGAACCCATGCCACCCAGGGAAGCACTCATTAATTACTTGCAATTATTCTTGCAGTTTCACACTTATGTTGCAAATTGCCAATGTTCTAATTGATTGGTGTGAACACTCCAAGGGGCACTGGGAGGTCCTTGTTCGGGAACCGAACGAGGTGGGAAGCAATCCACGAATGCTCCCCCTAGACAGCGTTCGTCTAACGAACAGGGTACCACCAAGGGTCGGCACGCGCCGAGGCTTCCCTTGCAGTTTGTGGTTTTGATACCTCGTTACAAGGTGTGAATGTTCTAAGACAACATTCAAAATGAGGTTTCATTCGGGAGGCGAACAGAACTCGTATTGGCTCTTCCGAATGGGGAGCAGGTAAAACAGAGGAATATAACACAATATAGGGGAAAAATGGGGAATAACACATAGCAATTCAACAGGCAGCGGTCCCACCACACTAGTCACACACAGTCCCAGGTAGACAGTCACAGGTAGATATTCACACAAACAGGCACAGGCAGAAAGTCACACACACAGTTACAGATGCAGTCACACACACAGTCACATGTAGACCATCACAGACGCTGTCACAGGTAGACAGTCACAGACAGAGAGTCACACACACAGTCACAGGCAGTCACACATAGTCAGAGGTAGACAGTCACAATCCTAGTTACAAACACACACACACAGCCATTCTCACTTACTGGCAGTATGGGTTGGAGAAGGAATGTATACACTGAAGTCTCTGGTGTGTAGTTGTTGGGGAAGCAAGGACTCCTTCCTGCTTCCCCTCAGTGTGCTGCAGCGAGTGGAGGCTGCTTTGAGCTCCACCCCTGCATCAGTTTTGGCTCCGCCCCAACTCGTCGTGCAGTACTCCTGCTCCTGGCCCCTGTGTGTGTGAGCTGTGTCGGCTGCCCCTACTGCCATAGCACCCGGGGTGGACCTCCCCCCTGTTTATAAATCACTATTAAGACCACATCTTGAATATGCTGTGTAATTTTGGGAACCTGTTTCTCAAGAGGGTTATTATAGCACTAGAAAAAGTGCCAAGCCGGGCTACAAAATTAATAAAAGGAATGGAACATTTTAGTTATAAAGAAAAGGTTAACACATTTAAATCTTTTTAGTTTGGAAAAACAGTGCTTTAGAAGCGATATGATAGCATTATACAAACATATCTATTGATAAACAGGACTATACATAGGACACAATTACATGTATTTAGACTGGAAGAAAGGAGATTTAGTCCAAGACAGAAGAAATGTTGTTGTTGTTGTTGTTGTGTTTTACAGTAAGAACAATAAACGTGGAATTCTCTGCTTGAAAAGTTTATTCCAGAGTCTTAACAGATGTTTAAGAGGCAATTGGATGAACATTTGCAACAACATAATATACAGGGATATAATTTTTAATTTGTTGGGTAATCGCTTCTTGATCCAAGGAGACATCTGACTGCCTTCTGGGGTCACAAAGGAATCTTTCCTATTTTGTTGCACAATTGAACATGCTTCAAACTGGGTGTTTTGCCTTCTTTTGGGTCAACAGCTTAAACAGATGTGAGAAAGGCTGAACTTGATGGACACATGTCTCATTTCAGCTATGTATGTTGTTACTAAATATTGGGATTTAATCATATATGATGATCACACTGTGTCTAAGCAAATCACTGATTCAAAGTGCCTTAACATTAATAGTATCAATTTAGAAACCGTAACGGGGTGTTTTGCTTCTTCCCTTGTAAGTTCCAGAATGTTTTGGAAACCTAAAATGTGTAATTTGCAGCTATAACTCAACACATTGCGTGACTGTATTTGTATCTGCAGTTAAGGCACCTGAAATTAAAAGTACATCATTTAATCATAAACTAATCATAACAAAATCTAGCTCTGATAGAGAGTACGGTCGTTGAGTGACTGGGTGGGACAACAGGTGAAATAGGTTGGGCGAATTTATGGATTTGTAAATTTTTTACATTTTAAAAGATAACGAGACCTTTGTCCTCTGTTTGTCATTTTCATGTATGTAAATTAATATAAATGAAGAATTGAAAAAAAAAATACTATTAAGCGCGATGTTAGCAGACAACACGTTAAAGAAGGTAAGAAAAAAAAATGACATTTGCTAAATGATTGTAGCACAAATGGTTCTAAAGGAGTTTAACACTCATCACACTTTTAAAAATAGCCTTGTTCTCGTTACATAAATATCTGCAAATGAGGCATAGTGGGGCATATCTACATTCATGTAACTATAACCAAGACGAATAAAACAACGAAACCGTCTTTTCTACTGGGAATAATGAATATATTCACAAGCTTACATAAAATATGTGAAAGAAAGGTAAATGGAACACTATGAAAAGAAAAGTTAGCTCAGAAGGCAAGCTTCCATCTAACATGAATAGCAACAAAGTAAGGTTTTCTAAGGTGAGAGATCCCAGTATGCATCTGTGCTCAGTCTCACTTGGCACAAACTATTTTTTGCTGAGCAATTACTCAGTTTAGTGTTCCCTTTCACAATCAGCTGTCAATTGCAGTTTCAGCCATGTTGTCACTTACCCTTCAGCTGCACAGCTTTTGCCCGAGTGAGTGGTGCAACCCTCCTATACAATGATCTGAATAGCAGAGCTGTGATCTTGGAAGACAGTGACACATGCCACAGCTGTTTATCACTAGCACCCAATAGCTGTTATGGAAGCCCAGCTGGCCAAAATAGCTCCATTTGCAAGCTTGAAATGTGGACTTGTGGTTTTCTGCCACCTAGTGGACATAAGAGTTTGTGCAGCTCTTCTTGACATTACATAGACCAATCCGAAACTTTAATTCTTGCCATGTAACCTCATTGATCATGAGTTCTCAATAAGATGTGCATTTTATTTATAATGCATTTAATAGAGAGTTTGAAGCGAGCTACAGAATGATAGGTATACACAGTGGTGTATCCTGGTTTTCTGCTGCCCTAGGCAGGACAAATCTCAGGCACCCCTGCCCCCGCGTCACCCCCACCCAACCCTCCCCGCCCCACCTTCTAAATACACACACACACACACACACAGTCAGACACACACACACAGTCAGACACAAACACACACACAGTCAGACACATACACAGACACAAACACAGTCAGACACAAACACACACACACACACAGTCACAAACACACACAGTCAGACACAAACACACACACAATCACTCACATTAACACTTTTTTTTTTTTTTAATTAAACCCCCCCCACCCCAACCTCCTTACCTTTGGGAATGCTGGGGGGGTCTCTCTCTCCCTGGTGGTCCAGTGGCTGCCGGTCAGGCTGGGCGGCGCTGGCTGCTGTGCGAGCAGCTGGCGAGGGAGCACTTCCTCTGAGCTGTCTGCTCAGCTCCCTCGCGCTCCGCAGAGTGAGGCTGGGAGCCGGGTTGATAACATCATATTCCGGCACTCTGCGGCGTGCGAGGGAGCTGAGCAGACAGCTCAGAGGAAGTGCTCCCCCGCCAGCCGCCCGCACAGCAGCCAGTGCCGCCCGCCAGACCGGCATGTTAGTTAGCCGCAAGGCTAACAAGGCATTTGCCCTGGGCATTTGGGGGCGGCGTTTTTTTGCTGCCCCCTGAAAAATGCTGCCCAAGGCAAATGCCTTGTTTGCCTCGCGGCTAATACGTCCCTGGGTATACACCCAAATTTGCAATTTAACACGATTTATTAGCATTAACTAACTTCTTATAATGTTTTAAAGTAGTATATTACACTCAAGGTAGATTATTGGTATTTAAAGGGTCACTTCAAGATCCATAAAAACGTTGTTTCATAGTGTGTTGTATTGACGTGAGACACTGAGAGAGGATTAGAACTTTAACCAGCATCTCTTTATTCTGAGTCTTCCCTGTATAACTGAACTATAACCTGTGACCTATTTCCTGCTCCGGGTTACATGACCAGATTTAAAGTGAACCAACACATTAACTATTTAAGGTAAAACAGGGCAGTTAAACAATTAACATTAGAGTTGTCACAAACAAAATGACACATCATCACAAATAGAATGAAGGAAATGCGGCATATTGAAACTAAAGAAAAGGATGCGGTTAGAGGAGGAACTTGGACTGGGATGGGTAGGGGATGGTAGGGAAAGAAGGGGATGAGATAGGAAGGATGTGTCATGACAAGTTACTCCAACAGGCAGAATATAACCTAAATTAGAAAATGTATTACCGGACATTAGAATGGCCAGTTTTAACGTGGATAGAATAATCGTGGAATAGTCAAAGTCAAGGGTAACGATAAGGAGTAGCTGAGTCAGGAACCCAGAAACAGGATAAACGGGAAAACGAGCCAAGTCAGGATACCAGAAAGCATAATAGGTAATATAAAACAAGCCAAGTCAAATACCAATGCTCACACAGAAATTAGTATAGCACTAGAGGGAACAACCAGTGAACCACAATACGGCACTGAGCAAAAGCAAAAGGCGCTCTTTTTTAATAAAGCGTCTTTTGCTTTAAATCCACGCCCCCAAAACGTTAGGGAGTGTGGGATATTTAGAATTTTGAGTAACAATTGCAAGTTTCAATTGTTAAAGATGTATCTTTCTACGGTGTTCTTTATTGTTGTGTTAATAATAAAAATGTTATAAAACAAAACCAAAAAACTTTGTTTGGCTGCACATGTCTTCAAGGAGCGTTCCTTGGAATTCTTCCACGTATTTTTTCTTTTTGTCAATCTGTAATTGTAAGGTAATGATAAAGCCTTTACAAATGTATGTATCCACATTGTCAGCTGATTTAGTTTCTTTACTACAACTGCTGTAGAGTACATGTGATATTTCTCCAGAGTTAATTGAAAAACCATTTTGATGTTTACATTTTTCCCAGGTTAAAACTGTCGTCACTTTCCAGTGACGAGCAATTAATATTCTAATAGTAATAAAACAATTTACTCCAAGATACTTACTATATTTCTCATAGCAGGCCAGTTCACGTGTAATAGAGCTATCTCAGGGGAAAAACATATATTCCCATAACTCAGACATTTAAACACCGATCTCCAAATCTGGTTTATCTTAGAGCAGGATCAGCAGATGTGTATTTTTGAGCCCTTAGATAGCTGGCATCTCCAACAAGTGTCATTATGTCCTTCTGAAACATAGCACCATTTGTTGATTAACTTAAAATGGGTTTCTAAAAAAAATAAGCAGTGTATACTTTTGGTATTAAAATAAAAGGCCTGACACCATTCTTCCTTCTCAATTTGACAGTTGAATTCAATTTCCAATTTAACTATTGTAGATCGAGTAGTTCTAGATGGGATAGAGTGGATTATTTCATTGCCTTATACAGTGGATTATCTATTCTCTCCTGTTTTACTAGTCTTGCCAACAATTGGATGTGGTTATCATGACCCTTGACAAGATATTTATTTATAAAATTATTAAGTCTAATATAATTGAATATTTCTTGCAACCTAATTTTGAAGGCGTGGAAATGCTTTTAAATGATTTCCTTCTATTAGGTTTTTTATGTATTGTTTTTATTAAAAAAAAAAAACTTTGCAGGTAATTCCACAATACTTTGTTTCTTACATGACATGCGTCGAACATTTCAGGCAACATTACCAATTATGTATTACATACAGCATTACTTGTGCCATACAGAATAACTATATTAGAGGTACAGCGGCAAGACACCGACCCCTATTTGACAGTAACCTTTAACGATTGTTGCGCAGTGGGTAGTATTAGTAGCGTTGTATATCAGCGCAAGAAATATGGACATGACATGGTATACAACTAGATACATAAAGAACAACTTTAACCATGTTCCCAATTCTTTAACCTAATGCCCTCCATATTATCTTCTATGTATTTTAAATGTACACATCCCATAAAGCCATTTCTTATTTTCATTTCTCTTTTCAAGTCCTCCCATGCCTCAATTGTCTTACTATTAAACATCTTGATTTGCAATAATTTACAATTTTGTCTACCTCTAATATTACAAATCCAATTATCACATTTCTCGGACCTCATCAGTTTCCTTTCAGCAAGGTGTACACGTCTTAACATTAAACAGAGGCTAAACTTGAAATCTAAGTAGACTAGGTAGGCATAACAAGTTTAATCACTCGTAGAGCTCAAGCTAAAACATGAATATGCCACTAGAACTGACCACCACTGAGCAAAGTATATAATGCAATATGGTTTCTCAAAATAAAACTATGCAAGGCCTAGGCAGTAGGTTGTCACGTTATGTGAAGGAGAGTCACCCGAGTCCTATAGGTAGGTAAACATGGGGGATAAGCTGGCCTTCTGCTGGCAGTATCAACACTCCTCCTCAAAGGTAAAGTGCCTTGCCATCCCCAGGCTTTATTGAGGGCGAACCGCTTCCATCCACAGACTTGAGAGTATGTAGAGACTTGGGTCCTTCCCCAATTGGAGAAAGCAAAAATACCCACTTGACTGTAGCATCCTGTTGCTGGCTTTACCTGATAGAATCGGCCCAGATAAGCACATGTATTCTTCAAATCCAAATTGTCATTTCCATTTATCAAACTGATTAAATGGTGTCAGTGTGTGTATTGTGTATGTGTCAGTGGTTGTAATTTTTGTAGCTGCCTGCAAGGGCCAGCCTAAAAGGTTCAGCCTGCCTTGTATGGCGGCCAGCACATTAAAAGTTTAGCAAAGTCTATTGCAAGCCTCCAAGACACATACTACAGTCTGTTACCTTTTTTGTATTTATCTCTGTGTGGCTATAAATGAATGATTGTGTTTCATGATGACTGGCTAGGTGAAGGCTAGTTTTATATTTATGTGAAGGTGTTAAAGTATATGGGTGAAAGCATGTAGTCTTCAGTGGTCGTGGCTGCCAATATGGCATTCATTTGTACATTTACACATGCGCGTTAGGGATGTGTGTGGAAGTGGAATAAAGGTCCAAAACCTGCCCAGAACTTGCCAAAGCTAAATCATATTATTTGAAGGAAAACAGTGGTGTCCTCAATATTTACTCATATTATTACTTTTGCTCGAGAAGCAACCACTCAGCTAAAATAAATGCTTGCTAATGTTGTTGGTTTAGAAGACTCAATGAATCAGAATAATGTAGAGGCAGCTATTTTGAGCATTCTAGAAATAGGGACAAAATTATAAAGTGTCCTTTGTATTTCTTAAATTTTTTTGTGTAGGATTGGGCAGAAATACTGCATAACAGGAATAATGTAAGTCTTATCAGCTTTATTGATGTGCTCCTGCCTACCCAGTCTTTCCATTTCAAAATGGCTGCCTGTACCTGCTTCAGTATATATGAGAGGTAGTTTACAGTTCACATGGTGATCTGACTGTACAGGTGACCACCCATGTATTGCATAAAAACCATTAACCACTCAGCTCGTAATTGGCCTATAAGGCAGAATCTTTGCATGGCACTTAGAATGACAAACTTTATAATATGACATTTTCCTAGATTCTAGAACCAAAATTTGTAACTCTGTTAATGTAGGTTTCAGTTCCACCACTAGAAGCAGGTATTTATATACAACACATTTATTTTTAAATACAGATTAACCAGACAGAATCCAGATCATTATACTTATAGCTCAATTTCTATGAAGTCCACTCGTTGTGTGTTTGTATGTGCCAGTGTGTGTATCTGTATGTCAGTGTCTATAAATCTGACACACAGATACACATACACTAACACATAGTGGCACACAGATACACACACTGACACACACATATACACACACACATCGTAAAACACAGTAACACATATATCTGTGTGTCAAGGTGTGTGTATCTATGTGTCAAAATGTGTGTATCTGTGTTTGTATGTGCTGGTGTGTATCAGGGAATGTGTATCTGTGTTTTTATGTGCTGGTGTGTATCTGTGTGTCAGTGTGTATTTGTGTGTGTGTGTGTGTGTATGTATCTGACACACAGATACAAACACACTGGCACATAGTGGCACACAGATACACACACTCAGATACACATACACACACTCAGATGCACACAGTGACACATACACACATTTTGACTCACAAATACACACACACTCAAACAGTGACATATAAACACACTTGTACCCACAGATACACATACACACACTCAGATACACACTGTCATATACACACACTGACACACACTCAGATACACACACACACTGACATACACACACACACATAAGCACATACAAACACAGTGATATACACTGGCACACACACACACACACACATTAATACACACACTGACATACACACACACACACTCTCAGATACACACAGTGACACATACACAAACCTTGACACACAGATACACACTCAGACACACATTCTCTTTGATAGACACACATACACTCTCACTGACAAACACACATACTCTTTGACAGACAAACATACAAACAAATATACACTCTTACTGACAAGCACACATACATTCTCGCTGACAAACACATACACATTCACTGACAAGCACACATACACTCACTGACAAACACACATACACTCTTTGACAGACACACAAACACATACAAACTCCCTAACAGACACACATACAATTTTTTTTATTTCAATTTTACTCCACCCAGCCTCCCTACCTTTGGGACTGCTGGCATGAAGTCTCTATGTTCCTGTGGTCCAGTGTGGCTTCTGAGCTCGGAGTGCGGTCCCTGTGGTCCAGTGGGGCTGCTGAGCAGCTGGGCGTCCGGTCCATGTGTTCCAGTGTGGCTGCTGAGCGTGTGGTCCCTGTGGTTCAGTGGGACTGCTGAGCGTCTGGGCATGTGGTCCCTGGGGTCCAGTGGGGCTACTGAGCAGCTGGCGTGAAGTCCATATGGTCCAGTGGGGCTGCTGAGCGTGCGATCCCTGTAGTCCAGCTGAGCATCGGGGCATACAGTCCATGTGGCCCAGTGGGGCTGCTGAACGTCTGGGTATGCGGTACCTGTGGTCCAGTGGGACAGCTGAGTGTCAGGGCATGCGTTTCCTGGGGTCCAGTGGTGCTGCTGAGCGTCTTGCGTGCGGTCCATATGGCCAGTTGGGCTGCTGAGCATCTGGGTATGCGGTCTCTGTTGTTCAGTGGGACAGCTGAGTGTCTGGGCATGCAGTCCCTGGGGTCCAGTGGGGTTGCTGAGCGGCTTGCGTGAGGGCGTACAGTGGCGGCGAGGGAGCAGTGATCTTCCTGCTCGGCTCCCTCGCGTGCCTCTTCGTGATGCCAGAGTGGGAGTGACATCATATTCTGCTGTGCGCGTGAGGGAGCTGAGCAGGGGAGAGTGCTCTCTCGCAACCGGGAGCCATTTTGTTTCCCGAAATTTTGTCGGAACCCCAGGGTTCCGCAGAACACCAATTAGGAAATGCTGTTTTAGACTCTTTGATGTTCGAAATTCTATTACTCCGGAATTCGGAAATTCTAGATTAAGAACAAAACAGAAAAAGAGTACATTTTGTTAGCTTCCGAAATTCGTATGCCCATTACAAGTCATAGGCTATGACTGGCATTAGCATTTGCTGTCCAATCAATTTTTTTTTTTAAATGTAAGCAGACTTTATTATTAAACAGAGAGAGAAGAATCAACAAACTGAAAAAAGTCTATTGCTGCGAAGATTTGTTTCTGTCATGGGGCAGAGTGTGGAACAAGGTTGAGGGCATGGAGAATTACTCATAAGGGTTCTTTCTTCTTTTCTTATTCTTTTTTGTTTACTTTCATAACAAAAACTTTTTTCTGTTTATAAATTAATTGTGTATAGTGAATAAGAAGATTAGTACAGACTAGTGAAAAACAAGCCCAATACCAATCCTATTACCCTTATTAAAGTACTAGTCCAACATTGGAATGAGAAAACCTTAAAAATGTATAATACACAACTTTATTGTATCCCTATTGTGGTGGAATCTCGGTAAAAATAAATTTAGTAGGCCGAGATTACCACGTGGCATGTGTACGTGCATATGCTGACGTATCGATCAGTTGGTTGCACGAGGCAAGATACGATCAGTAGTGTACGGAGCATGTGCAAGAATACAGGATGTAGTATTCCCCTCCTCCATTGTGCTGGACAAGCCATGCGGTCAAGCAGGAAGTTAATTCTTATTTGTAATGATTGGTCAAGAGAATGTGCGGGTGGAGCTTAATATGGGAGGAGTTATGTGCCTATATAGGGAGCCTGCACTATTGTTCAGGGCTCAGAACTTGCTGTATTTTTGGTGACATTAGTCCCTCTGAGTCCCGATCGGTGATCCAATAAAGAATCTCTTCCTTCCTGAAGAAACCTGTGTCCATCTCTCTGTGCTTTGCTTCCGTCAGTTTCTCCGGTATCATTTGGTGCATTGGCCGGGAAGCTCATCGTTCAACGGTAGCTGAGAGGCAGAGGCGTGAGACGGTCTATCTTTGCCCACGTTCTCTACGGCTGCACCCCTGAACTTCTGCGTGGACCTCCCTTCGTCTCGGCGCCACTGGTCTGTTGTCCAGGAGATCATCGGCCTCTACGTAAGAAGTGCTGGGGTGTCCCCGTCGATGAGTGTGAACTCAGGTTCAGGAACGAGGAGGTAAGACAACTGCTGTTTTAGACGGCAGACCCACTAGGGGTATACCGATTGTGCGGTAGGCCCAAAAGGGGTTTAAATCTGTGTATGGAATCTGCCCCCTCTGTCGGAGGGAAGGAGCGAAGGCGCACCGCTCGATCGAACGCTCTTTAGTAAGACCGTTTGATCTGGTTAGTCAGGCGGGGTCCTGTGTAAATAGCCCTAGCCGGACACCGGTGTCTTGTCTAGACTAGCGTTCTAGGGTGTATATTACGTTCGCTAGGTCGGAGGGACCGGGAGACTAAGCGGCGCCTGTGTAAATTCGGTTCGCTAGCTCTCAACCTATCTTGGCTAAGTGGGAAGGCGTGTAAATTTGGAACCCACTAGACTTTTGATAGAGTAAATAGACTAGAAGGGCAATTTTGTAAATTTCGCCCTCTAGTTCGCTATATGTGGTGTTTGGGCAGTGTGGCTAACCAAAACGGGTGTATATAGTTTTAGGTAGTCCATTCAAGGTACTGGCCAATAGTTTAGTTGGGATTGTAAATGTGTTAAAGATTGTTAGTAAAGTGTATATCTTGTTAGATAGCGCGAGCTCAGCCGTCTAGCGAGAGTGTTAATAGTGTGTTGCTGTATCATAGTGCACGGTACCATAACCCTGTATATTTACTGACACTGTATATAAGTACTAATCATTGTCGTCTATTGCATGTTTAACACCGTAACCACTAATAATTGTATTGTGACCTTAAATTGTGCTTTGACCTATGCTAACCGTACTGTAACCGATACTAGTAAAAGACGATGTTACTGGGGTGTGTTATAGACGGGTAATTCATATATAGAGAATTATAGCGTGGGTGACTGTATAGTTTCGCCAAAGGGCATAATATTGATTATTTAGTGACTGGTGTAACAGCTGTGTGTGTACGGGAATTCCCTGAGTGATTATTGTGTACGTTTCACTCGGTAACTGTACCACGTGGTGCTGTTGCCAGAGGAAACGGGTGTGACTGTTGAATAAGAACGCGTGCATAGTATTCGTTGTCAACGACGTTCCATTGATAAGTATGGGCGCGTCAGAGTCAACGATTTCGGATCCCTTAGGTTGTATGGTAAAGAATTTTAAAAAGGGATTCAAAACATGTGATTTTGGGGTTAAAATGTCTCCTGTACGTTTGGTCACTTTGTGCACTAGGGAGTGGCCTATTTTGGTTGCGGCATGGCCGCCGCGTGGCAGTTTGGATCCAACCCTGGTACAGCGTGTACACGTGGCTGTATCAGGTAGGCCTGAACTTTACGGACAGTTTCCATACATTGATTGTTGGGGGCAGGCCGTAAACGACTCGCCAAAATGGATCCGGATATGCCACGAGGAGCAATGTCGCCTCATGGTGGCCAGGACTTGTTTGTCCACTAGGACTGGTGTTAGGCCCATTTTGGACACGCCCCCTGAGTCCGAGATCCCTTTGCCGCCCCCTTACTTTCCTTTAAGAGGAAGTGACGCGAATGCAGGAAGCTCTGCACCCCTTCCCCTATTGCCCCCATCCACTTCCGCTTCCTCCTCCAGTACAGAATCCACCCCCCCTCGTATTAAAACTCCCCTTCCGGAACCAGGACCAACCCCCATTAGATCTGAATATCCTGATTTGGCGCCACTTCAAACTTCCGGTCAAGCTTCTTCTAGCTCGGCTCGGAGTATACTATTCACTAACTTTTCCCAAAATCAAGTTCCCACATCCTCATGCCCTATTACCTCTCGACCGGAACCTTTAACTGACGCCCCTCCACGTAGCCCCATACTAACCCGACAACTGACCGGTACCCAACAATTAAAACATTATCAGATGCCTCTTCGTCTGAATCCTGGGTCAGCCTATATCGATCACGACTACCGATCTCTTGAATTGGAAGACCTACAATTCCTCGTACACTGAGAAACCACAAGCTATGACCGATCTGTTCACCTCGATAGTTCAGACACATAACCCGACATGGGCTGATTGCCAGCAGTTATTAATGACATTGTTCAATAATGAGGAAAGGACAAGGATTAACCAAGCGGCCATTAAGGCGCTAGAGGAGAGAGCCCGTGCTTTAAATCAAGTCAATCCGGCAGCATGGGCCGCAACACATTACCCTAACACCGATCCTGACTGGAATGTAAATGGCGCAGATATGGCTCAACTTATAGCCTATAGAGATGCTATAATTGCTGGCATGAAAGCCGGAGGGAAGAAAGCTATTAACATGTCGAAGACAGTTGAGGTGATTCAGAAAAGTGATGAAGCACCCAGTGTCTTTTATGACCGATTATTGGAGGCATACCGCTTGTATACCCCCTTTAATCCGGAAGACGCTGATAATTCCCGAATGGTAAACTCCGCCTTTGTCAGCCAAGCTTACGGAGATATTAAGCGCAAGCTACAGAAATTAGAAGGGTTTGCAGGTATGTCTATCACCCAACTAATGGAGGTAGCGAACAAAGCATATATGAATAGGGAAACAGAAAGTAAGAAAGAGGAAGAGCGCAAGATGCGTAGAAAGGCAGATATGCTAGCGGTAGCGATCGCAGGCGTAGATAGACGGGGCCCAGATAGAGGCGACGGTAGATGGAATAGGGAGCCTTTGAGTAGGAATCAGTGCGCGTACTGCAAGGAAGAAGGGCATTGGAGGAACGAGTGTCCGCAAAGAGAGCAGTATGAGAGAGACTTACCCAGGGCAGGTTACGGAAACTTTAGAGGCAGAGCGAGAGGTAGAGGAGGCCCGGAGGGAGTAATGGTAATAGAGGGAGTAATGGGAACAGAGGAAGTGTAAGGGAAGATAGGTACTATCCAGCAGCGCAAAGGTCCCGCGATAGAGAAGGTAGGGACTTTGTGGGATTGGCTGACACGGTCATGGAGGACTATTGATACCGAACGGGCTCCATCCCCCTTGGTCGAGCGGAGCCTATGGTCGATGTATCAATAGGGGGAAAAAGGAGTGCGTTCATGATCGACACTGGTGCTGAACATTCGGTGGTGACTAATCTAGTTGCTCCTCCATCTGGAAGAACTATTACTGTAATAGGAGCAACTAGAAGAAGTGCTGAAAAACCGGTTCTTAAAAGTCGACTCTGTACATTGGGAGGCCACGTAGTAAAACATCAATTCCTTTATATGCCTGAGTGTCCAGTCCAATTGCTGGGACGCGATATGCTATCCAAATTACAAGCGCAGATTACGTTCCTACCAAATGGAACAACATCCTTAAAGTTTAATGGACCCTCAGGTATTATGACATTGTCTGTACCAAAGGAAGAAGAGTGGCGACTTTATACAGTATTGACTAGCCAAAACCCGAGGAGTGATGAATCCTTATTTAACATACCAGGAGTTTGGGCAGAGAACAACCCACCAGGACTGGCCCGCAATATTCCACCTATTAAAATCGAACTAAAACTTGGGGTTTATCCAGTAAGCCTGAGACAATATCATATTCCGCAGAAGGCTAAGAAGAACATTCAAT